TGCCTAAATGTATGAACAAATGTTCAACCTTACTTATAACAAGAAAAGTACTAAGTCAAACCACAGGGAGATACAAATCCTCACCTATTGTATGGATAAAAACCCAAAATTGTAACAGAATTCTGAATTGGCAAGGTTGTGAAGAACAGATACTGTCATACATGGCTGGTGTGAAAGCAAAATAGTACAAACCTTTGGCAAGGAATTTGGCATCTAGGAAAATTACATATACATTTCAAACTGTTTTTAGAAATCTATCGTAAAGAAATACTGGCAAAATATGAAAAGCTATTAGTTTTAAGGTTATTAACTGTGACACCACTAGTAATGCAAAAGACAGGAAAGAAGCCAAATGTCCATCAACAGACAACAGGCTGAATAAACTATGGAGTATTATGCAGCTATAAAAGAGAATGAGAAGGATCTTTATATGTTGCTAAAGATTATTCTTGAAAACACTGTTAACTAAAGAAGAGCAAGGTGAAGATCTATGTGTATAGTAGTATACAGTAGAGTGTGCTCATGTTTGTGTATTTGCTTAGGTTTAAAAGTAGAAGGGTAAAGTAAAAACCAACCAAAATGGTGGGAAAATTAAGATAGACATGATAGGGTTAGAAGCTAGATTTCTCTTGTTTAGTTCTATGGTTTTCATTTTGGAGTTCTGTAGATATTTAATATAATTTTAAAACAAAAATTAAAAACAAAATGAAACAAATGAACATTATTGTATATTGACCTGCAGCTTAAACATACAGAGGAATTATTTTAAGAACTCTTAAAACAGAGTAATTTTAAAAAATACCTTTATTGTGGTATGATTCCTCTGCAGTAAACTACACTTATTTCAGATGTATAATCTGATGAATTTTGATAAATATATATACCTGTGGAACCACCACCACAATCAAAATAGCCAACATTTCTATCATTCCCCAAGAGGTGCAAATTTTGAATTCTCAATTTATCCCTTCTCACTCCCTTTACCCACTGGTCACCATAAGTTTATTCTCTATGTCTTTGAGTCTGTTTCTATTTTGTAGATAAGTTCATTTGTGTCTTTCTTTTTTTTTAAGAGTCCACATATAAGAAGTCATATAGCATTTTTCCTTCTCCTTCTGGCTTACTTCACTTAGAATGACTATATCCAGGTCTATCCATGTTTCTGCAAATGGTATTATTTTATTCTTTTTTTATGGCTGAGTAATAATCTATTGTATAATTATACCACATCTTCTTTATCCAGTCATCTGTCAATGGATATTTGTGTTGCTTCCATGTCTTGGTTATTACAAATAGTGCTGTTCTGAACACTGGGATGCATGTATCTTTTCAAATTATATTTTCCTCCAGATATATGCTCAGGAGTGAGATTGCTGGATCATATGGTAAGTCTATTTTTAGTTTTTTGAGGAATCTCCATACTGTCCTCCATAGTGGCTGCACCAATTTATATTCCCACCAACAGCGTAGGAGGGTTCCTTTTTCTCCACACCCTCTCCAGCATTTATCATTTGTGGACTTTTTAAAACTTACCACGTGTGAGGTGTTATCTTATTGTACTTTTGATTTGCATTTCTCTAACAATTAGTGATGTTGAGCATCTTTTCATATTCTTGTTGGCTAACTGGATTTCTTCTTTGGAGAGATGTCTATTTAGGTTTTCTGACCATTTTTGACTGGGCTGCTTTTTATTTTGATATTAAGCTGTATGAACTATTTGTGTATTTTGGAAATTAGTCTCTTGTCAGTCACATCATTTGCAAATATTTTCTCCCATTCTGTAGGTTGTCTTTTTGTTTTGTTGATACTATCCATAGCCGTGCAAAATCTTTTAAGTTTAATTAGATCCCATTTGTTTAATTTTTAATTTATTTCCCTTACTCTAGGAGCTGGTTCAAAAAAACTATTGCTATGATTTATGTCAAAGAGTGATCTGCTTATGTCTTCCTTTAGTAGTTTTATAGTGTTTGGCCTTATATTTAGGTATTTAGAGGATGTTCTAATTTCAGTCTTCTACAGGTAGCTGTCCAGTTTTCCCAGCACCACTTGTTGAAGAGAATATCTTTTCTCCATGTATATTCTTGTCTCCTTTGTCATAGATTAATATATCATAGACCATAAGTATGTGGGTTTATTTCTGGACTTTCTATCCTGTTCCATTGATCTATGTGTCTGTTTTTGTGCCAGTACCATACTGTTTTGATTACTGTACCTTTTAATATAGTCTGGATTCAGGAAGCATGACTCCCCCAGCTCCATTCTCCTTTTTCAAGACTGTTTTGGCTATTCAGGGTCTTTTGTAAAACAGAGTAATTTTAAACTGCTCATCCTAGTGTCATATGTACAAAGGTTAAAAAGAACCACAATGAACTTTTAAGCAGTTTTCAATAATCATATTTTAGTAGTAATGTGTATTATACTGTTGAAAAAATATATTTAAAGGAAGTAAGAAATTATATTAATGTAATAGAAAGAAGAAAAGTAAGAAGAAGAAAAATATAAATGCAAATAAAAATTCAAGGCAGTTAAGTAAAATTCCTGAAATCCTAAATTGGAACTAAAAATATTAATATAAATTTGTGATATTATTTCTCATTCAAAACAAATAAAAATATCTGGAAACAATGAACAATCCAGTAGCAATGAGAACGCCTAGTGCCCACATTTTGGTCTTTAAATACATTTCTCTCTTAGAAAGAACCAAGCTTCTTGGAGAAATGTCTGGTCTATGTCAGAGTACAGGAAACATACAAGATAAGGTTGGAACACCTAATGTTTTTCCAAAACAAGAAATCTATGAAAGATCATTGGGTTCATGACAAAAGGATGCAGGAGAAACTTGAAAAGCCTCCTGGTTGTCAAAGATGGAATATTTTGATCATCAAAAAAGTATAACTATAGTAGTAGATTATAACATATCAACTATGTTTAAATCCATGTGTTGATATGACACTCAAAAAAAGCCAACCCTACCCATATCCTTAGTCATATGTGGAGGATGCTAGGGAAATAACTCATTATTTTGAAAATCAGAAAATTAGTAAATAAACAGAAACAATCAATAATTTATCCTCATTATTTTCCTCAGATAATATCGCAGGGCACTCAAATAATGGATCTGGAAAATTGTTTCTTTTAGGAGAATACCAGCTAATACATGCAAAAGGTAGGATAAAATTAACATACCACTAGTTTGTAACCACTAATAATACTAGACTAAGCAGTAAGCATCAATTGGTTCTAAAGTCGTTCGCTAAAATGGGGAAGTCTGAAATGTGGTTCTCAAACTTTAATGTGTATATAAATCATTTGAGGATATTGTTAAATTCTAGAATTTGATTTAGTAGTTCTGGGGTTGAGCTTGAGACTCTGCTTTATAACAAGCTACCACATGGTGCCAATCAATACTGCTGGTCAGAGGGCTATTCTAAGAAAGAGAAAACCAGCTCCTGGCACTTAGGAGCTGGCCTGTTATATTAGCTGGGCCTTGTTCTTCTGCTGAATGTGAATAATTTCACAGAAAACATCAGACAAGTTCACTCTGTGAGCATGGATCAAGACAAAAATAAGACTACTACATAATCATATCTGCATAAACACAAATAATGAACACTGTCCAAACCACAAAATTGACCAAAGATCCCCCTATCTTGGCTACTATAAATGGCGCTGCTTCTTTACCAATTGTAGCCTTAGGCTCTATTCAGTCTTTCCTCCTACCGGATAAGACTTACTAAAATGCCCAATTACTCATGCTTCCAGACAGCATCTAATCCAGAACAAAGCCCCAATTCCTTAAGCTCTCCCTAAAATCACCAAGCATAAGCCCAAGTCCTATAACAAGTCCTTTCTAACACCCTCTGAGAGATCCCATTGTTTCTCTGGTGAGCAGTCTCTTCACTACAATAAATACATCTTGTTCAACTACAGGTGCGTTTTGGTGGTCTTTGCTGCTGGAGTAGCAATTCAGTAGTGTGATGGATCAGGCTGACAGCTGAGTCACTAAACACTAAGCACTTTCCGATATGATTCTATAAAGACTCATAGTAAGCAAGTAATCTTGCCAAAAAAGAGGAACCTGAATCTGATTAAACCTCTAGATTTAATCAACAGTTTACAAGAAATACAGAGGATAGAGGAACATTTTAAGTACCATATTTAATTCAACCACAAGAGAAATTGCCTTTTTCCCCTAACAAATAAGTGACAAGAAAAATAGAAGAGAGGAGGGAACATATAGATTAAAAGAAACTCAATAGTCATAACCATCAATTGTAATGTGTAGCCCTTATTTGGGTCCTAATTTGTACACATTACTACTGAAACTGATAATGATGATGATAATGACAAAAAGACTATTGGGGATATCTGAACAGAGGCTAGCTCTTTGATAATATTTTTTAAATGATTATTAATATTTTTAGGTTTCATATTGACAATGGTAGTTTTTCAAAATATTTACAAATAAAATATGATGTCTGGGATTTGCTTTAACATAATTCAGTCACACTGGGAATACTACAAGAGGGTATAGATAAAAATATTGATCATATTTGATAATTATCATAATTTGATTTGAAGTATATATGATAAATGTTTTTACTATTCTCTCTTAGTTTCAAAAGTTACATAGTAAGTAATTTTCTAAAAATATTTTTTACTATTTAATTCAGCAAATCATTTTTGAAAGAAGTTAAACAGAGAAAATTTAAGGACCATAGTTCAAAATGGCTGCATATTCTAGAGAAATAAACTATAATGAATTTTAAAGAGTCTTTCCCATTACTAAAATTGCTTTCAAAACCATTTTTTGAGAGCTGTTAGAAAGTTCATCTGTTTCTTTTCTTATTTTTTTTTTGTAATCTCTAACATGTATGTCAATTGCAAATAAAGAGGAATAAGGAATTATTATTATGCAGGCTCAGGTGATGGTCTTTAAAGGAACATTCAATTTACATGTTTGACTCTTATAAAGAAGAAAACATTATTTGGGCAATTACCTGGATCTGTAGCAGACATCAGTGAACCAAAAAACAAACAGTCAGTGAAATGAAAGTCTCCATTTTTCAGCTGGTCAGCATATACCATAGCCTTCACAAAGCCATAAATAATTAACCTGTTGAAGAGAAAAATATGATCTTCAAACCTCAAGTTGAATCCTGTATAAACCCATGCAATCATAGCTAACATTCTAATGTGCTTCCTGAAAAAGGATCATTGCCAAGTTACCACTACTCTATCAATTCATGCCATACTAGTTCTCAGTACACTGTCTAAATCTCTTGACTATGAAAGACACTTTTACCAAACATCACAACTCCTTCACTTGGCAAAGGTAACAACATTTTAGAGTATATTTCAATGAAAACAAGATAAGTCTCAAAGATACAAAAAATAATCTGTCAAATATGGCATAGCAAATCAGGCCCACAAATGTGGTGTCCGGCTTAACATCTGTAGATGGCTTGCTTTTCAGGTTGTTTTGTCTGCTAGGAGATGTCTGAAAAGGGTTGAAATTTCAAGTCTCTCAATGAAATGAGATGGATATTATCCGCTCACAGGGGACCATGTCAACCAGCTACTGTACAACAGATGAGTCTGTACTACTGCTGGTGTCAAGACACTTCCACACCAGGTGGAGAATAATCACTGCTAGGTTAGAGTACCTGTAACTTCAGCACACTGTTGAAAATGAACCCTGAAAAGGTTACATTTGACCTTGCAAGGAAAGCTGTTTTTTTCATGAGATTTGCCCTTCTACAGCTTTTAAATTGTATTTAATTATTTAACTGACTGATTTTGTTAAATCCTACTCGAGGAAATACAGAAATTGCTGTACTGGACCATAATAAAATCACTAAAAGTGAGTGTAAGAATCCTTAGAAACTACAGACCCTCAGACCAATAGATGGTGTTCAAGTATTCACATGCATTTAAAGTTAGTTTGTTGAATGAAAAAAAATGTTAAAAAAAAAGTTTGTTGAAAAATGTTCTAGGGCTGTGAGCATGACTAAAAAGAGTATAAATCAGATATTAGAAATTGTAACGTCAATGAGAATGCAGATGCTTCAAATTCTGTTAAAGATTTCTCCGTGAGAGACTATTTTAGACACACCTGCATTTAAATCCAGTTTCTACTACTCACTACCTATGTGATTTTAGGGCATTACTAAAACTTTCTGAGCCTCAATAGCCTTAAGCATGAGGTAGGGATAATAATAATGGTTAGCCCATAGAGTTGTTTTAAAGATTATTTTAAGTAATATAAATTTGGGTTTTGATACATGGTAAATTCTCAATGAGATTATTATTATTATTGCTAATAATAATTATCATTAGGTAATAGTCACTTACTATTTCTACTTCACAAGTTTTAACTCATTTCATCCATGCATTGATCCTATAAGGCAGGTAATATTTGCATTTTACAGATGAGAAAACTGAATACTGGGTGATAAAGTAACTTGCTCAAGGTAACACAGTTGTTAAATTGCTGAAACCAGATTTGAACTGCATTATTTGACTCCAGTTCCCAGGCTTTTAACCACCACATCAGATTGCCTAGACAAACAGTTCTATGTTTTACATTATATGTTATCTCATATAATGTACTCTCAACTAGGCCATAAGGTGGTTGTTCTAGGTAGTACAAAGGGGCAGTAATGGAGTATTCCTAAGAACTTGGGAATAATACTACCTTCTGAGTTGAACTATTAAGACAATTTATAATGGGTTGGAGCACAGAGACCCAACCAACATTGCTGTGAAGAGTGTGGATTCCCATAAGAAAGCCTGAATCTTAACCAGACTGCAGGTATTAACATAACTGAGAAAGACTGTGTGATGGGACACAGC